CTCAAGGTGCCTCTCATAAATTAAACTCAAGGCCCTGAAAGGTGAAGATTCCAGATTATCGCCGCCTTTGATCAACACTCCGGCGGTGCCGCCCTCACAAAGTTGTTCATCTCACTCTGCACCCTGTGAAGTCCTTCCGCCTCTGACTTCGATTTCCAGCAACAGCCGAACATCCCTGTCGAATTCCGCTACCACAATAGCCTAGTTCATGAAGTCAGAGCCTCTCGCTCCGCACCTTGCGAGCTCCTTCCGCCGCCGGCTTGGATCTGCAGCAGCCGAAGATCTCCCCGCCAGTTTCCGCTACCGCAACAGCCTCATCAGCGAACACTCTGTTCCACCCGTTTTCGTCGATCGAGTCTCTATTCCCCTCGTCGGCACAATCATCGTCGATTCCAAAACCTCAGCAGATCTGATGATGATCGCACCTTTGAAATCGATGGATTGGCGTCGGCGTCGAGCCGGAAGGAGGAGAAACGACTTGGATGAAGGGGATTGAGGGATGGAGGAGGAGGATTGCTTGCTCGAACGTTCGGATCGACGTCGGCGTCGGTGAAGTCACAATGGTGAGGGACGGAAGAAAGTCAGATGCGAGTGGGAAGGGACGGAGGAGAAGAAGGGTTTCAGATAATTAATTTAAATTTAATTTGTTATTTATTGTTAGTTTACGATTTTGTCCTTAATGAATCTTGTTGTTATTATAAGGGTAAATACAATTTAATAGCCAAACCTTTTGGGTTTAAACAAAATAATAGCCAAACCTTTTTGAAAACAATTTAATAGCCAAACCGTTAACTTTCCATCCGGTCAAATGTTAGTTGATTATGATGTGGCAAATTTTTTGCTGAGGTGGAATGAATTTGATGATGTGGCACAAAATCAAACATTTGACCGTGCCACATGGATAATTATAATTTTAACTAATTCTTATATTCTTATGAAAAAGTTCAAAAAAGGTTATCTTGTATCTTCTTTCCCTCCCTCCCTTCTCTCTCGCTCCAGAAACTCCTCCGCCGCAGCGGAAGACAACCCCTCTTCGACTTGAGAGGATTGACGGCGACGAGGGTTTCGGGTGGAGTCCACTGATGACAACCTCCGACGACCTCCAAAGATGGGTTCTTCTGCATTTCTGGGGCGGATTGAGGTGTTGATGGGTTCTTCTTAGGCGGGTCACTTTTTTTTTTGGTTTATGGGTTCTTCTACAAAAAATCACTGGACAAATCCAGGCATTGCTGGGTTCTTCCATAGCTGGACCGAGTCCAAGGCCCGATGGAGGCGTTGGGGTTCTCTCTCAAGTCTCAACTACAGATCTGGAAACGCAAATTTTCCATCGCTCGATCCACTATTGGAGCAGCTCCACCGCGGCGGGTGATGATGATTGAGAGGCGATTGTAGAAGATGAGATGGATGGGGAAGCTGCGGCGGTGGGAGTGGAGCCTATGGTTGTGAAAACGATTGGAGATTTTGCTTTGGAGTCGAAGGAGGAGTAGATAACTTTTGGGCGGAACTGCCGACCAACATCAGCAAGATACTCTGTTCCAGGTTGTGAACGATGACGCTCCTTGTTGCTGATCGGAGGGATTCGCCTTACCTTTGTGGCTCCTTCAGCTTCCTCCTCCTTCGCCATTTTCCCAACCATCTCAGCACCGAACTCGTCAATCCCCAGCGAGATTTGTGGCCTCCCTCGTAGGCTTTCCTCCTCAACCGATCGACTTCTTCTTGATTTCCATATCACTAGCTACCACCTAAAGCAACGTAGATCTAGATTTCCATAATAGTAGCCCGGATTCCGCCTCTGCTCCCCTGAAATCGACGACGAAGACATAGGGGAAGAGAATTTCAAGGGTTCTTGCCAAGAACATTAAGTAGAGGTCCAGAAGGAGGTAAAACTTGGAGGACTAGATTTGGCTTTGATTTGGAGCAGAGAGTGATAGGTGAGGGAATCAGAAAGGAGGGGCTTTGATTTGGATTTTGGAGCAGAGAGAGATGTGGGAATCGGAAAGGAGGAGGGGGTTTGATTTGGAGGAGAAAGAGAGAGGGAGAGGTGTGGGAATCGGAAAGGAGGAGGAGGGACTTTGATTTGGCGCAGAGATCTGCAGTGGGAGATTTGGAGTAGAGAAAGAGGAGTGTTTATTCATTTTTCAGAATTTTTTTTAAAGAACTAATATCCATATGACAGTCAAGTATTTGACTTTTTGCCACGTCATCAAAATCCATCCATCTCATTTAATTTTTTGCCACATCAGAGTCAACTGACGGTCAACTGGATGGAAAGTTAACGATTTGGCTATTATTTTGTTTTTGAAAAGGTTTGGCTATTATTTTGTTTGAAACGAAAGGTTTGGCTAATAAATTGTATTTACCCTTATTATAACAACACAAATAGTGTTGTTATTCTATCCGTACCCTATTAGTCAGGTCATTATTTCGCTCTTTTTATTTACGGAATATTTATCATTTGTGTTTTCATCACATATTGAAATTGCTTGACTTTATCAAATGCGTGCTCCTATAAAAATTAGTCATAAAATCTAATATTAGTTTAGACTTTGTGAATAAGGGACGTCAAAATACTCACCATGCACCGTTTCATTATCATTACTAATGCGTATAATTTTGGACAACTCGAATTAGCAAGGATTCATCAAATTCTTTAGTGAATGTGGACAAAAACACTAGACATACTACCAAGTCTGGCAGAATGGGCATAATTCCATACAATATTTTTTTAAGGCCAAAATGAAGAATCTGACAGAATGGCCTCCACTCTTACGAAATACAATCTAGCAGGCAGGCTGGTATACCGTACCGAATCGGTAACTGACCGAATTTAGTTTGTGGTCGGTAGGTAAGGTACCCCGAAATGAATGGCAGCAGTCCACTAGCTAGTAGGGTTCATCTCAAGGCGGGGAGCATTACAAGGAATTCAAAGAGTAATTCCTATATGGTTGGGAAGTTAGTTGGTTTGGTGGTACCAAAACTACCAACTGATTTTTTAGGGCAAAAGAATTAGGGATTAGTTGGGGTGGTGGCAAGCAGCTGATTCGCGGTTCGGCACACACCTAACTTACTATTCTAAAAAGTTCTTCATACATTAAAATTCGTGTTTGTGAAATTGTATTTTACTGACGATCGGAAAAATTTCATGTCGAAGTGCACACAGATAGGTGATTTTAAACGATATGAAATGATTAAATCATAGTTGTATAAAGTACTTTGTTGTTAGATTTTTCGGTACAACCTCCTGTACGATTTTAGGATCGTTGATTACAAAACTATCTTACACCTTGATAGAAGGACTTTTTATTATTATCCTAATTTACTTTTTATTTGAGACATGGTAAATAGTGGTGATGATATTCCATTATCACCGTGCAAATCTTTTTATAGAAATATCATTTATTATTCTCTTACGAATTTGTAAAGTTTCTATAGAGAATCATACAAAATTTATTCAATTTCTGATTTTTTTTGCTCAAAACATTACTTGTATAAACGAGTCAAACAAAAATACAACCAATTCACAACTAGTCAAAGCCATCGGCAATTTTGAAAAATAGACTGACATGATATAAAAACTGACGAGTCGTACTAAACACGGCACGAAATAAATGAGTGCTAAACATGCACGTATTGTACCGGCCCAAGCATGACCTAGCATCACTCATTTCATGTAACTAGAAAAGTAAAGCATCTATTCTTTTTCAAAGAATGAAGAAATGAATTGTGTACCAGAAAATAATTAAAAATAAGAATACTTGGAGCTACAAACAAATCAATAATAAATCGTTATATCAAATTTCATCCTCAAGATATTAGTCATTGCAAGTTATCATGGATGGAAACTCACTTTATTCTGTGGTTAGAGTCGGTTTTGTAATTTAGTATCTTTGGTTACCGCCCTCCTTGCCATATATGAAAAAAAGTTGAGGAAACTATTTTCGTAGTTGATTGATACTCATTGAAGGATACTTGATTATTTATAAATTATAATCAAATTGTGATACCATATACATGATTTACCATCCAATTTCAATCCTAACAAAGAGTGTACTGATTACTAACCAGCAAAAAGATTAAGTGCCACTATCTAATTTAGGTCTATACTAGCTTTGATCCCGACCATTGGCTGGGTGAATTTCATTTAAACATTAAATTAATTTTGAAACTTTTTGTTCATATTCTTGAAACTCACGTTAATTTCGTGCATACACTACATTAATATTAAATAATTTGTTGCCGTACTTGAATCATTTTTCATATATTATAAAAAATTTGTTATTCTTTGTGTATGACCCGAGTGTATGGTTTGAAAATTTGACTCGTAAATATACATAGCTAATTTAGTTCCTCCAGGGACACCCACGATATTGATACAATATAAGTTAATTTATAAGTGAAAACATACAACTCTTAATTGAGATATATTAACTTTTGGATAAATGTATAACATGATCATGTTATAATATTTAAATTTTTTTATCATCAAACTCATAATAGTTCATTTATCCAATCTTGAATCAGGTGGAGATAAAGTTTTTAAAATCATTTTATTTTCAAATGGTGGTTCGTGAAATCTCCGTACATGAAACACTAAAATTAAATATCTAAACAATACATGTCATTTCATAATTTTCGAAATTTCAAATAACGGACCGTTAATGTTTAAAATATTGGGACTCAACATCACCCAACATAATCAAATGATTATGCTATGCAATATACACTACAACTTGCCCGTGCATATGAAATATTTTTTATTTATTACAAATACGGTGACAAACTTATATATAGTTTAAATATATAATATATGGTAGTAATATTTTTTTTTTTTTTTTGGTAGAAAGGTAGTAATATTTTTAGATGGTAAGGAATATAACTTATATCTAATTTAGGTCTATATTATTGTGGACCAAACTTAAATATGGGCTTACACGGTCTTGGGCCATGAGAGCTGTATAGGCCTTATTTGAGTTTCATTGCCCTTCTGGGCTTATTCGGCGGTTGAACTTCCCTCTCCCTCTCCGTCTCCGTCTCAGCCGTGACAATCCTTTCATTCTCCTGTAAACTGTAAAGAACACCGAAGGGGAAACTGGGGAGTGGAGGAACCTACCGAGGGTTTGGGCTTGTACCAGAACCCAGCTCAGGGTTTTACAGAGCTCCATCGATAAAATTCTTTGCTTCAAGAAAGAGGGAAGAAGGTACTAAAGCGGGTAAAGTGAAAGGGGTTGTGGGTTGTGGAAAGAGGAAGCAGGAAGTAAATGGCGGTCAGCAGCAACGAGAGAAAGCCCTTTGGAGACGGGATTCGATGGGAGAATCCCTTTACTTTCAAAGTGGGTCAGGTGTTCACTGGCTTTGGCATCGGTTGCGGGGTTGGTATTGGCCATGGTCGCCCCATTCATCTCGGTACTTCCCCCCACTTTTTCTTTTGTTTCTTCCAACATTGGTGCTGTCTCTACAACTGGGAAGTTGAGATGAATGTTGGAAGCTTCTTCAAGTTAAAAAATGGTGAAATCCACCAAAAATTTCATCATCAGACGCCTTGTAATCGATCTTTTTGCTTACTCTTGTCTGACTTTCTTTCTCTAGAATTGTTAGGTTGCAATTATGTGTGGAATATGTGTGTAGTTTGTTTCACTGTTAGCACTTTTGTATTGGACGAACTGCAGCTCGGAGTTATTAATCCAATGTTGGAGGAGGATTTCATGCCCTAGTTGTAAGTTCCTTTCGTATGTGGGGTTCATGACACGCAGCGGATGAAACCTTGCTTCAAGGCCAAACCTTCGAATCGGGCTCGTCTGGGAATTTTAGTTTGGAGTGCTCCTTTATGACAACTGAACACAATCAAATGTCTATTTGGTTTTTATTTGATTTCCGTGTCATAGAATTTCAGCGATTTGTTTCGCAAAATTTCCTTCACGCACACTGATTTCTTGTCATACTTTGTGTAGTTAGTGACCTGAAAATGTTGGTGTGATCCACACTCTTAGGTGCCTTGCCGATGGTGAATCAAGTCCTCAGTGCAACTAGAGGTGCCACAGATGCTTTCTCTGGTTTTAGCAGACATGTAAACGATGCAGTAAGTAGAATTATTGATTTAATTTTATCTGCCCTTTTGTCATTTCACACTAGTCTGATTCAGATTTACTGTCAAAGTCTCATTTCTTATTTTCCAGCTAAGGAAGGTGGGAGCTAAGAACATTGAGGCTGGCGTTGGTTGTGGAATTGGTTTTGGCCATGGATTCGGAGTTGGTAGGTCGTGTTCTGTGTATGGAGTATGTTGGACATATCTGGTGGCTATCTGTTCATATTGCATTATCTGCTTAGTTGATCATTTAATGACTGAAGAGCGATTCTGAGTTACCATGGGCTAAAAACTTGACCTTTACTGGGCAGGCATTGCTGTGAAACCAGGGGTGTTGCAGAGAATTCAAGTTTGCTTTCTGGTATTTTACAAAGTGTTGTATGTCCACTTACTATGAACTTTCATTCCGTCACTATTTCTCTTACTGAAATTTGATTTTTAACTTCCTAGGAAGCAATGACGACAGTTATGATGAAACTTGGAGGAGTTCCTAATATGTCAGCTATTCAAGGCGGGCTCCCAATATCGTTGCCTGGTGGCATCAGTTTGGCAAGTGGACCAACAAGCAACAGTCCTGCAACTCCTATCACTCAGCTTGGAGGGAACTTTCCAGACTTATCGCTTCAAGGTCTTCCCGGAAGTGGAAAGGTCAACCGGCACTCTACTTATACAACTCAAGCATCAGAAATGGGTCTAGCCGATTCATCCTTTAGTAGAACTGAAAAAGTTCTCAGCAGCTTTCTGCAGAACCCAATGCTTAGAGAAAACGACCCTGCCCTGAAGCAAGCGGTATGTGTGATCCATTGCATCGACCATCTTTGATGGGCTATGAATTTGTCACTGATTCTTTGCCTAACATATGCAGGCTGGCCGTTTGCAGTCAGAAAACAGCATGCTTCAAATGGTAAGTCTTTGGGTTAATCAGCCGCTTCTCTACTTGGTTATTCCATCACATTGAATGAACATTTTAATTTTTAAGTTCATTATGTCGCTAAGAAGTTAATTTTGCTATGGCCATTCAGGTGCTGAAACACCAGCAGATCATTGAAGAGCTAGTGGAAGAGAACAAGAAGCTTCGTCAAATCCTTTTGGAAGACCTCAAAGTACCATCCAGTAAAATTCAGGATAGTTACAGAGTTCAGTCACCATGTATAGAATGTTTTGATTGTCGAAGGAAACAAAGGAAAAGAAGATGAAAAATATCTATAGCTTTAAAAAACCATGATCATACTAATATTCTGGCCTGCTGTAGTAGTAAAATTGCTTTTGTCCCTCTTTGGCTGTTACACGTTACAACCATACTCTGCACTGCTGCACTATGATTTCCAGGTAATCGAAAATCGCGAGGGAAGAAAGAACTTCTTTCCTAATTGTAACTCTATCTTGTTAGCTGTTGGATAGACGAAAGGTAATCAAATTATTCATGTGAGATTTGCCCTTCAGTTTACTCCTATATAACTTGTTAATTTCAAGCTTAATCACAATTTCTGAGTTTCCATGTTGCATCTTCCCTTTTCTATAGCATTATCGTCCTCCAGCAGCACTTCCTGAATGCAAAACGAGTATTATTTTACTTCGGCTCAATTGGCAAGTTTGGTCACTCGAATTACTATAAAATTTCACGTTTGCCACTCAAATTAATTTATTCTATTTATAGTCACTCGAATTAGTAGAACAGTTCAAGTTCGGTCATTCTTCGTTAACTTTGACTGACGTGGTAGTCAACTCTGACAGTTGACCGTTAAATGTGTGACGTGGCAAATAAAAAATAAATAAATAAATAAAAATTAATTTTTAGAAATTACACATCATTATCACTAAAAATTATAATTATAAAAAATGAAAAAAAGAAATTATCAACAAAAAGAAATTACACATCATTATCACAAAAAAATTATCAAAAAAAACAACACAAATTCCTTCCAGATACCACAATTCTGCTTCAGCCTGCTGTTATCTTCCTTGAGGTAATTCAGCTCGAGTTTCCAGCTCCATTGTATATGCCTGTTTCCTAGCCCTCGACATTGCTGCAGATTCTCTGTTCTTGATCATCCTACGCTGCCTTCTCTCCACCAAAACCTCCGGCGGCCCGTCGATATTCTGCTAAACTCACTCGACGATGCTTCCCCAACATTATAGCTATGGTAGGGTTCATCATTTATGTGGGTAGGAACCAAAGCAGCCGGTCACATTCGAGAAGTTGTTACCATGGAAAGACCCTAATGTTGGTGCCTCCAGTTTCAGCTGATGTAGCACTGTAGATGATGATGCTATCCGTGGTGGTGGACCGGTGGTGCTGAAGGACTAGAGCTGGACTACGAATACTAAAAAATAGATAAAGGAAGACGGTTTGCCAAAAGTAAACAAGAAAATTGAAGACCATCTAGCTCAATCAGCTGGATTCAATAGCCTTGGAATTGAATCTTAAATGCGGCTTACATGAGCTTGGTTCCCCTTCCTGGCTTCCTTATTTCTTTTCGTTGATCAACGTGGCCTATTTTTATCTGGATTTTAGAAGAGCTTTTGTACTTTAAAAGTTAAGTTGGACCAAATATTTTTATAGGTTTGGTTCTTGAAAAGATGAAAAGTAATATAAAAATATATAGCATTTCTATTAGCTCTTTTGAAAATATAAGATTATCACCACAAAAAAAAGATATTACATTAACGAAAAAAACAATATTACCATTTTTAAAATTTTTTAATTAAAAATATTGTTATTTAAAATAAAATAGATTATAAAATAAAATTAATTAATATAAAATAAATCTAACAAGATTCATTTTGATTACTTTTTATTTTTAAATTGTAGCATATTAGGAAAAAATATTATCATTTTAAATGGACTCTTATATGAAAAATTACTTCTAATAGTTTTTAGCAAAATTCACATTTGTTTTTTTTTATAGAAAAAAGTGATTTGCCGGAAGCTCCAGCCAGAACATGATTTTCCAAAATGTATAACAGGACCAAACTAGCCCATTGAAGAGAAAGACAGATTGCTATTTGTTTTCTCCATATAACCAATACACCCCATCATCTCTAAATATCATTTGAGTATCAGACCTTGAACCTCTCATAGCTATAAGGTCGAGCAGGTTAGTTTTAATTTATTGGATACTCATATGCTCTGACAACAAAGAAAAATTAGGCAAAGAAATTACTTTGAAGTTGACTCTTAAATGTGGCTTACCGCTTACATGACCTTGGTTTCCCCATTTATGTTATTTGGCTTAACTATGAAAATTAAATTTCTCTCCGTACCCTACATACATAAATAATAGTGCATACGCATCATGTTTGACATACACCAACATCGTTGGCAAAGGATTTGTTGAAGAATTCCTTTAAACTCAACAATGACAAAAGGGATGGCATTGTTAATGCAATGGAACTGCCCATGCCTGAATGAAAGCAAGAACTGTATTGTGTGTGGAAAGTCTAACATGGTGTGTATTAGGGGTGGCAATTCGGTTGTCGGTTAGCGGCTAACCGGCCGGTTCAACCGATAACCGCCGGTTAGCGGCTAACCGAAAACCGACGAAATTTAACCTCGGTCGGTGGTCGGCAAGAAAGGGTGGCTTCTCGGCTAGCCGAGTAACCGGTGACAATTAACCGCGGCTAACCGAGCTAACCCAATCAATGCCAAACGACACCATTGTAGCCCAATCCCCCACAAAAATCGAAACCTAATATCAAGACTGAAGACTCTGCCTCTCCTCCACCCTCCCAAAACCGTCGCTTCCCTTCGACTCTGCCTCTCCTCCACCCTCCAAAATCATTCGTTCCGTCGCCGTCTCCCGTCCCCCGACCCGGCCACTCCACCCGTCCTCTCCTTCCGACGAACCCACCACTCCACCCTTCATCTCCTCCACTCGCCCCCACGACCACGGATCTCCAGTCCGCCAATCCTCTGCTCTGCCGTTCCTCTTCCTAAACTTGTCGCACCCCCAAGCCCAAGAACAAAACCCAGAAACCAATAAACCCAGGTGGCTATGTAGGAGGGAAGAAGTCAGATCTCTTCGATCTGGTTGGAGATGCAGCCATGCAGGGACCGAAGTTGGGGATCTGGATTCTGGATCTACGGATTGGTGGGTGCGGCGGGAGGATTAGTGACTAGTGGAGCCGTCGCCGTCGCCGTCCTTCCTCCTTCTCCGAATTTTGTTTGCGGCGGCGGGATTGGTGGGTGGCTGGGTGTGATAGTGCGACGGGAGGAGAGTGGAGAGATGAGGAGATGAGGAGAGGAGAGATGACGGGAGGAGAGTGGAGAGATGAGAAGAGATGAAGAGTCTCACTGTCTGTCTCCATCTATCTCCATTTTCTTTTTTTGTTTTTAGTTTTTTTTAGGTTTTCATATAATTAAATAATAAATTAATGATTATAATAATATTTTTTTGGATAGTCAATTAACCGCGGTTTAACCGTTAACCGGTCGGTCGGTTTGCGGCAAACCGAAGCATGATAGGCGGTCGGTGGCCGGTGACTGTAAGTGTGGTCTCGATTTAACCGATAACCGAGAAATCAGTTTTCGGTTAAACCGAAACCGACCGACTGACAGCCCTAATGTATGTCGTCATTTTATTTCGGTGGCTTATAGGCTATGAGTCGTTATCTATTTGTAGTACCATATTTTGTATGAATGATATTTTATTGCTCACACATTTGAAGTCACTTTGTGGTTAGTTTTTAACAAGTGGACACTTTGAGATTAGCTTTATTGATTTTTTTTTTGTGTGGTTTATATGGTCTTTGGTTGGTAATCTATTTTATGCCGGACAATGGCCCTACCCAACATAAAACTACCATCGAAAGGGAGCGACTAAATCAAAATATTCCTACATCCATACTGTACTTTAATTCATTTGATTTGATTGTTTGAACATGAATTTTAGCAAGCTCACATGGCGTACTTATACCGAGCTTGATTCCCCGAAAGAAATTGATGAAGTGTACCTAAATTTTATCGCTATAAAGGATGAAACATTTTAATGCATCATTATAGTCAAACATATAAATTACCACAGAAAAGCTTCTTTATATTTCACTGTTTATTATGTAGTCGAAGTTTATGAGTGTGCAATGCAGGTTTGCATGCCACCCTTTGATTTGTGAATTGTGTTTGTGTGTATTTCCCTTCTTTGAAAGAAACAGATAGTAGGGGAAACCAATTAGAAAAGTTTGTTTTCGAGTTATTCTTGGTTTGTTCTGGATACGGTGCATATTTATCTACCGAAAGTTCATTTTTAAGTATGTTTTAAGTAATATATTTACTGCCATTAATTGTATATAGATATTAGGTACATGTATATATTTAACATGATTGATACATTATTTGGTATTTTCTAACTCAACCATTAAATTAATTAGAGTACTTTCCTCAATTATTTATGGCAACTTCTACAAGAAAAAAATAAATTTAAAAGGTCAAAATTAGAAGGAAAAAAAAAAGAACTACTCACATATCACATATATACTTTCAATTTGAGCATATCCATGCAAAAGTATAAAACTTCGCCGGTCAACGGACGGGCCATGTGCTAGTTTCTAAGATGATATGATTTGACTATTGCTTCGACAATTTTCGTCATGTCAAATTTGCATTAACATTTGAATCGTGAATTCAAGTTGATTTCAAATGATATAATTTTTTCAAGTAGATATTTGTTGCCATAAAAGCAACTTTTCTGGGAGAAGGAAAACAAGTGTTCAACTTTCCTTTTTACGTCCTCATGTCGCCACACTAGGGGGACATGAAGACATAAAAAGGGGGGACATGTTACTGTAACAACACATATTTTGTTGTTAGACTGTCCACAGCAAGAAGGGAAAAAGAGGATAAAAGGGGAAAAAAGGAGAAGATGACTCACAATAGGGGTGGGTATTATGGAAAAAAAGGATAAAAGGGAAAGAAGGGGAGGGTTTCTCCTGCGCTAGAGGTTAAAAGAAGAAGGGGAAATGGGTCCAGGTGGGTGGGAGGAGGAAGGGAAGGGGGACCATGTGGGTGGGGTTTTTTTTTTTTTGTTTTTTGTTTTTAAAAATTGTTTTATGGTTTTCTTATTGGACTTTTATGAGTTATTGGATTTCAGTGATAAAATTTTTTATATCCAAATTAAAAAAAATTATATCGAAATGTTCGTCTTAATTAATCAATACTACCTATATAAAAATAATGAATAAATTATCAAAATAAAGTTACCATATCAACTCTAGATTGATTTTGAAAAAAAAATCCCTCCCCAATACCCTTTTTTCCCTACCACCTATTGTGGCCATTAGAGCATCTCCAATGGTGCCATCTACATGCAATTTCAAGTGTGGTCCCTACTACCACATCATCAACTTTAACAATTATCTCACTCTTCATTTTCATACAACCTACATCAATGCCATCCACTTGCAATTGCAATTGTGGGCCCTACTTACTTTTTAATACAAAAAAATATTCATATTATC